TATTTAATGTTATGAATAACTTGATGTGGAAAGGCATCTTAGTTGGGAATACTGGCCTGTAGTAAGTTGGGGCCCTTTAATGCTAATATGTTACATTTCCTGCCCTTTTTAAAGAAGGCTTAGGAATATATCAAAGTACCCATGGTTCTGAGGATTATAAAGCCTGCTTAGTCATAACACAATATATTACTGAAGGTTTCTAGTTGGTTGTCAGATACAGTGTTAATTAAATCTCAAACTTGTTACTTTAGGTTTCATTATGAATAAACATGCCCATGCTACTTATTGTAATAACAACCAGTATTTGGTAATGTCCTAACCATTTTAAGTGTATTGGTCAGAGACATTAAGGATGTTTCACATTGAGTCACCATCATCACCATCTGTGAGCAGAGCCTTTTCACATTATAAAATTAGGTGTGGTGACATATAACTAATCCCACCACTTGGGAGGTAGAGGTCAGAGGCAGAGAGGCTGGGGGATTGGTTCAAGTTTTTTGGCCAGCTTGGGCTACAGTGTTAGACGCTGCCCACCCCTCCATCCCAAAGCTTTGAAATTGTATAACCTTTATCTGCTTAATTCCCTATGCATTCTGCTGGCCCTGGTACCCACCGTTCTCCTTTCCATCTCTGTGAATCTGACTCTGGGACCTCATGTAAGTGGAGTGTTATGAGTCTTATGTACGGTTCTTTTTCTTTTGCGACTGCTTCTTCCCTGAAGTGGGTGTGGTGTCCCCATACCTGTGATCCCAGCCCTTGGGAATAGAAACAGAGGGTTAGGAGTTCAAGGACAGCCTCAACTACATATATAGCAAGTGCAAGGCTAGCCTGGGTTACATAAGACTGTCTAAAAAACAAATATAGCATGTATCAGAATAATGCCAGGTGTGTGTGTGTGTGTGTGTGTGTGCGCGCACGCATGTGTGTGTGCGTGTGTGCGTGTGCGTGTGTGCATGTGCGTGTGTGCATGCTTGCTTGCACTTGTGTATACATGTTGTTTATCCAGTCATCCAGTAATGGATTCTTGGGTTTCTTCCCCCTTTAGAGAATATGAATAATGCTGCTATGAATGAATTCCTTAGCTTATTTTTAGAGAGGCAGTACATGGCCACACCCCGTCTCCCATGATATATATGCACTTGTGCATGTCAGTGTGTGCACAAGTAGAGGTTAGAGGGTGATGTCAGATGTCTTTCTCAGTCACTCTTCACCTTATTTTTTGAGATGCAGTCTCTCACTGACCCCAGAGCCTGCCGTTTTGTTGGCAGTCATGCTAAGCTTTTTAGGAAGGTGTTAGGGATTGAACTCAGATTCTCATGCTGAGAATGGAGCCATCTCTCTAGCCCCTAAAATGCTTTTTCAGATAACCAGCCTTCAAGCCCTCTAGACCTCACTACTTGTGTGGGTGTGTGTCTGAGACTGTAAGCCCTGACACATTCTAAAAGGTCCTGTGAAAAGTTGACAGAATCAGGGTGGGGATTTTATTTGGTAAATATGAAGCTATGGGTGTGGCTTCTCACTCCTGTAATCCCAATTCCAGAGGCACTAAACAGGAAGATGGCTTGCATTCCAGTCTGGGCTACAGTGTAAAGTGCTGTCTCAAGAAAATCATTTCCCACAACAAAAAATAATCAAATGAATAAGCAACCTCCCCACCCCCCAAGCTAATAAAGAAAGTGCAGATAGCTGTTCCCCTGTTAGAGACTGCCTTTGAGGGGCATGTAGGGGTTTTTGTAAATGTAGATATCTTCAGGATAAAATAAATTTGTTTGATGTTTTAATTATTGAGTGATATTTGGTGATGACACTTGCCAGCTTCTTAATCATACCATCTAATGCTCTTGAATTATTAATTGGATCTCATGACCTAAGTGGTGTGTGTGTGTGTGTGTGTGTGATAGAGGGAAACACTCTTGCCAGGAGTTGAAGCACACACCTATAACACAGAACATGGCAAACGGAGGTAAGAAGATCATGGATACCCTGTCTGAAGAGGCAAGGTGGGGATGGCAAGCAGGGCAGAAACATACAGATGTATGGATGTTAAAGGAAAATGTTTGGGTTCTTTGAATCCCTTCTTAATTCAAGATAATTTGGTCATACATTCTTAGGGGAAACCCAGTTTTGCAGGTAGGCAGGAGGCATTCTTAGCAAACTCAAAGCAACACCGACTTTGTGGTGGGTGTGAGATTGTAGGCTCTGAGTCAGTGTTTCCGGAGTTTTACTGATGTGTTTGTGTAATAAAGATCTGTGTGAGGGACCAGCTAATGCAGTGTGGTCAGATATCACTGGGCAAGCCTATTAGCAAGTCTCCATGGTGTATATGCTCCGGCTCAACCCATAGACAAGGAAGTGCCAGAGTGTTTGAAAAAGCTGCCTGGGTGTCTGACCTTTCTTGCCTCCTTTTGGGGATTGTTTAGAGCTGGTTGAATCCTAAAGCATTGGAAGTAGACTTCAAGGCTAACTGGCCACCACAGCACACAACCACTCCTTTTGGAATTAGTCTTTCACATCTAGGTAAAACTGAAGAGAAGTCAAATAGTTGCTATGAGAATTAATTTAGGGCTGGCAAAGGAGGAACTTGTCTTATTTTGTATTTGTTATGTAAATTAAAATGAGTAAAGACTTGGCTTCTCTGACATGGAAATACTTTATCATGAATGGTCAGGGTTGTCTGGGAAATACGACTGAGTCCAGAGGGCACAGCCCCTTTCCTGAGAGCTGACCTTTTGCCAGTGGGGTGGGGGGTGGGGAGTAAGGCAGGCTGAAGCAGTTTCATTCTTTGGGTCAGACAAATAGAAAAAAAATAAAAATAAAAGAACATAAACAGGTGTCAGACTGACTCTTCTTTTTTAAGCAGCTGTGCTCAGGCATGATTCACATTGAAACGATGTAGAGCTTCATGGTTTGTAGTTCACTAGGCTGTACACTCATGCACACATTTTGTTACTCTTAGGAGAAAACTAGACCTGTAGCAGTTGCCCGTTGCATTCGACAGCCATTGTCTACTTTGTGTTTGCACAGTTCTCTCTCCACTTGGGTGTTTAGATCAAGTGAAATCTCACAGTATGCCATCTTTTGAGACTGTCTATTAAAATGTTTGTATTTTACTATTATTATTGTGTGTGTGTATGTGTGTGTACAGGTGTGTGCATGCCATGGTGTATGTGTAGAGGTCAGACTGGTACCCACTTTTTCATGGGTAACAGGGTTGGAACTCAGGTTGCAAACTTGCATTGTGAGTGCCTTTGCCTGTTGAGCCATCTTACTGGCCTGTAGCTGTCTGTTTTCACTCAGTGTAAGCCTCAGCCAAGCAGTACCTTGTATTAGTAGTTCATTCGTTTTATTGTATTACTTTAAAATTTATTGTGTTTATTAACCTGCCTATGCGAAGATCAGAGAACAGCTTTGGGGAGTTGATTCTTTCCTTCCACTCTGGGTTCCAGTGGAGAATGCAGGTCATCAGGCTTGCCCATCAAGCCCTTTCCCCCCTGAGCCATCTCTCTGGCCCCACTCATTTGAATTATTGAAAAACGTTCCATTCTGTGGTAGTTCACATTGTCTGTGTTTTGCTAGATGGATTTTGGGGTTGTTTCTTTTTTATTTTATGTAAAATATATGGCCATGACCATTTTATTTGGGAGTTCTTTGTGTGGGTGCAGGTTTCTGTGTTTCTCTTGGACATGTATTGAGGAGTAGAATTGCTGGGTCGTGTGATGATCCTGCTTAGCCTTTTTAGGAGCTGTTTTCCGGAGTGACTGCCCCACTTCCCTGCCAGTCATGTGCCTTCTGCATATCCTTGCCAACCTTTGTTTTGTCTTGTTGATTATAGTTCTCTGAGTAGGTGTGAGGGGGCATCTCATTGCGGTTTGGTTGTCTTACTTTGGTTTCTGGGATGTTGCATGTCTTCCTGCATTCACTGGGCACTTTGATACCTTTTTTGAGAGTTGTCTATTCTGATACTTTGCCTGTTTGAAAATTTATTATTCATTATTTCTACTATTGAAGTGTAAGGGGAAGACTTTTGTTGTTGTTTGAGACAGTATTTCTAGTGTAGGCTAGCTTCCACATCCCGGTACATTGGAGGGTCACCTTCAGCTCCTGATCCTTCTGCCTCTGCTTTTCAAGTGCTGGGTTACAGGGCTGCACCTCCATGTGCAGCTAAGAGTTCTCTATGCATTCTAATGCAAGTCCTTTAGGATATGGATACCATTGGCAAAAAAAAAAAAATTTTTTTTTTTTTTCTCAGTTCTGTGTAGCTTTTTTCTGTCTGTCTGCTCCCACCCCTGCCCATGTTGCTGAGGACCTAGGGATTTAACTTAAACACTCCTGAGCTCTCTTCACTAAGCTATAGCCCCAATCCCTGCCCAGAACCCCTGCTTGGGGGTGCTACTGCCGACTTAGCAGCATGAAGATTTTGTTTATTGAATGTAGAACGTCTTCCCATTTATTCAAGTCTTTAACTCTTCTCAACTACATTTTGGAGTTTTCAGTATACAGATCTTGAATTTTTGGTGCTATTTTAAGTGCATTTTTTTTTAAATTTCGTTTTCATATTTTCATTGCTGGAATAATCAAAAGATATTATGTGTACACACACACACACACACAGAGAGAGAGAGAGAGAGAGTGAGTTTAGTTATTTTCTAGTAGTTCCCATAGGACTTTACTGTACACAAGGAGAACGATCTGCAAATAGAGAGACAAATAGAGAGATTCATGCCTTCCTTCTCAGTCTGAGTGCCAGTGTTCGTTTTTCTTGCCTGACTGCCCTGACTAGAATGTCCAGTGCAGAATTTGGGCAGTAAACATCCTTGTTCTGATGTTGGAGGTTAAACTGTCTAGTCCCGCACCATCAAGTATGATGCTAATTTTATTAGATTGAGAAAGCTTCCTTCTATTAGCATATTTCTCATGAAACACTGGGATTTCTGTTAAATACTTTCCTGCAAATTATTCATGTCTTAAACATGATAGCTTTTCTTTTCTTTTATCTGCAGAAATTGACTTACATACCAAGTGTGTGGTGGATGTGGAAGCAAACAAAGTTATTCTGAATCCTGTAAATACAAATCTTTCCAAAGGAGATGCCCGGTAAGTTAAGAAACAATATCATGTTCACTGAAACCATCAGTGGCTCTTGGACAGACGTGGGGCTGCTTCCTATAGACACAGCTGCCTATCAGGATGCTGTCCCCAGTGCAGATGAGTAATGAGGGAGGTTTCAGACAGAGCTCTGGACAGTGGAAACTCCAGAGTGTGAGTTCTATGAGCTGAAGGGATTGAGGCAGGCTTCAAGCTGGTGGTGCTGGTTGAAGGTTCAGGCAGGTGCAGAGCAGAGAGGTCAGAAAGGGAGCCTGTGTACTGATTTCTTGGTGAGGAGGCTTCTCCTTGGGCCTGCCCAAATCCTGTCAAGGGTTGGGGCCAATTCCAAGTGCTACCTTCTCAAAAGCTTTCCTGCAGCTCCCAGAGGGTCATCTCCTCTACATACAGGCAAGCTGGAGAATACCCAATTTAATTACTGTATTTTGCTAACTTGTAGAGGGACACCCTGATTCTGGCAGGCTGAGGATGGCTCCTTCAGCATCACTTGTGGTTTGGGCAAATGGATGGACAGAAGGTGAATTGGGAAAGAACAAATGAGATTAATTATGTTTTTCTCAAAAATGGAGTGAGATCAGTTAGATCAACTAAGCTGAGCTCAGATTATAGAAATCCCAGGAAGCAGACAAGCACAGGCTGGCCTTGAACTCACAGTTTTCTGCTCCCAGCCTCCAGAGTGCTGGGATTATAGGTATATGCCTATCTCTGGCTTGCAGTTTTTGTTACGCAGTTTTTGAGAATTATGAGCAGGAGGCGGATTAGGAAAAGTTGATGCTGTAGAAAGCAGGTAAAGTTGGGGATGCTTTTGTGCTAACCCTGGACTTGGAGGAGTCGGGAGGGGGAGACTTTCTGCTCTGGTGCCCCATGCGAAGCAGATACTCTGTAAAACCAGAGTTTCTGAGTTGAATCATTCATAGCTATCATGTAGCTAGTCACCCCCCTCCCCAGATAGCCTGGAACTCAAAGAAATCCTCTTGCCTCAGCCTCCTGAGAGCTAGATTATAGGTGTGAGCCACCAAGCCTGGCTTGTAGCTAGTTATTTTTAACTTATTTGATCCAAATCTTGATGATGCCAGATTTAACTATTTCATAGAATGCTTTTTTTCCTTCAAAGATCAGTGTTTGGTCAGACATTTTGTAAAGTGCTTTGCAAATGTTTATTGTACTGATGGTGGATTTTAAGTATCTCTAGTGATAAGGATTATGGGTTATGTTGTTAATGACATGTTAAGGGTATAGTCTTGTAAACATAATACTGGGGTCAGGTGGTGGTGGCGCATGCCTTTAATCCCAGCACTCAGGAGGCAGAGGCAGGTGGATCTCTGTGAGTTTTGAGGCCAGCCTGGTCTACAGATCTAGTACCAGGACAGCCAGCTGTTACACAGGGAAACCCTGTCTTGAAAAAACAAAAACAAGAACAAACAACAACAAAAAATGGTTCGGGATTTAGAGTTCGGGATGTAGAGTGCTTACTTTGCTCGCATACACAGGGCCTTGTGTTGAATGCCCAGTACCACATAAACCAGGCATGGGTAGACACCTGTAATCTCAGCACTCAGGAGGTGAAGTCAAAAGGATCAGAAATTTAAGGCTGTCTTGGGCTCATAGTGAGTTAGAGGTTAGCTTGGGCTACCAAAAGAGGCTGCTGAGATTTCAGGCCAGCCAGTAAAATGCACCATGGCTCTGAGGGGCGTTGCTTTTGGGTCTTTTATTTCTGTGACTTGAGTGCAGAGACCTTCCTTGAATCCATGGGCAACTTTGCATAAAAAATCTGAATGCAGTGACTGTGCTCAGAATTCTGACTTTGCCTCCCCAAAGCATGGCAGCCCACCCTCGCTTGCTCCTTGTTCATCAAATGTTTCTGTTATCTGTTGTTACCTTAGAAGCACAGCACCTTAAAACAGCAGCCATCAGTTTTTGTTTTGTGGTTTCTGTGGTTCAGGAGACAAGTCCTGGCACAGTTGGATGCACTCTGCTCCATGTTAAGTGGGATCTTGCTGGAAGACTTGAAGACAGATTTAGAATCATCTGGAAGGGCTGTGATCATCAGGCCTGGTAGTTCATATCCTCCGTTGAATGGAGGTGTCTCAGAGGATATGTGCAGGACAGCAATTCATAATCTGGTGACTGGTTCCAAGATGAGTCTCCCAAAGGAGACCAAGCCAGGAGAAAGCCTGTCTGCCATGTGTGTCCATTATGTGTGGCACACAGGTCAGTTCTGTCATATTTTCCTGCTCAAGGCTAATGTAAAGCTCTGTAGTTTATTAAGGTTTTTTTTGTTGTTGTTTGTGTGTGTGTGTGTGTGTGTGTGTGTGGTCAGAGGATAACTTTATGGGGTTGGTTCTCTTCTTAACAGGGGTTCGGAAGATCAAATTCAGGTCATCAGGCTTCTTAACAAGTGCTTTTACCCACTGAGTCATTTCACTGGCTCAGGATCAGAAACTTTATTGAGTTTTCCCAATGTTGATTGGGCACTTACTGACTAATTTGCCTTCTCTTAACAAGACAGCTCTCCTGGACAGGAGAGTAAGCTCAGTTAGTAAGTCCTTGCCTGGTAACCTTTTCAGTGTGTAATTTAATTTAGCATTTTAGATACCAGATGTAGTGGTGCATACCGGTTATCACAGTACATGGGATTGCTGTGAGGTCAGGGTTAGCCTGGTCTACATAGCAAATTTTAGGCTAGCTAGGATTGCACAGGAAGATTCTGTCTTAGGGCCTCTCCTCCATATTTTGGAGCACTGCACTATAACGAATTATGATAACATGATGTAGCATGCTCCACTCTTAAACAGCTGAAATGGTTTTTAATCATGTTTAATTTCTAGTGCCTATCACCATGGTAGGTGAACAGGCTTCTCAGGCACCATTTGCTTCTTGAGCACACGAAGGTGGCTTCTTGTGGAATGTGCCAGGCTCTGCTTCTGTGTGCTCATCATTACACAGGAACTGTCACTGTGCCTGGTGACAGCTGCATTCTGAGACAGTTCAACTCTCAGCTCCCATAGTGGGTTTTTGTACTTTGCTTTGCAGTCAAGTGCTTTGTCCTTTCTGTTCCACCAGCTTGATACCAACAATGGTCAGGCAAGCTTAGTGAACACATTTGCATTTCCTCAAGGATATTTCTTACCTGTAAAAGCTCGATTTCTTTATCCACTGTGGGTGTGTGATGGTGGAGAAACACAGCAACTACTAGGGTCACTATTGAAAGGTGCCAGCATTGCGCTGGCCTGAAATCCACCTAGCCCAGGCTCCTCAGACTCCTGATCATTCTGCCTTAGTTATGCCGCTACTGGCTTTTATGTCAACACAGTTAAAAGGCCAAAAGCATTAGCATGGAAATAATTTTGGCTTCCAGACCCACTGGAAGGCCCAGGAATCCCTCACAGGACTGATGAGGTGGCTCAGTGGGTAAAGACATCTGCGGCTAAGCTTGATGACCCAAGTTCAATCACCAGGACCCATGTGTTGGAAGAGAGTTCATTCCTGCAGGTTTTCCATACACATGCTGTGGTATCTGAGTCCCATTTCCCTAATAAATAACATCTAACGTCTAATAAATAACAACTAAAAATGAAAATCCCTTACAGGTTTGCCCAATGGCTTATCTCTTAGTTGATTTCAGTTCCAGTCAAGTTGAAAACCAAGGTTGGCAGCCATCATACACACATGCAGGTTTATGTCCAATATGTACTAATGTATAGTGTATATATTTAATCTTTGTCCCAGACATAGTTTCCTAAAATGTAATTTTTACCCTCTCTGTTTCCCAGTAAATAGTTTATACTCCAGAGCAGCGAGTCTCTGAATTCCGATGGTGGATAATGCCACTTGACAGCTTTTTCCTTTTGTCTGCTTTGTGTGTGTTAACTGGCATTCCTAAATATCCATAAATAGTGTGAAGAAGGTGTCCTGTACTTGAGAACTATGGGCTGTTCCCTCTTGAGCAGTTTAGTGATGTATATTTATATGTAAATGGGCCCATGAGCTTTCAGTGAAGAATTCTGCAGCTTTGTTTAGTCATTTATTGGAGTATGACACACTTTCTCTTCAGACATAGGTAGTAATAGCTCACAGCATAGTGTTCCTTTGAACAAAATTTGAGGACACCCATAATTGCCTCCTTTATTGGTTCTCCAAAGTAACTGAGCTCTCCACTGTTTCAACATGAGCTTTTAACTGTGCCTATGTGTCTCAGCTTAATTTTCAGATCCCACTTTCTTTATTAAAAAAAAAAGATGCTGTCTCACCCCTTCCCAGTGTCCTCTAGTCTTTTGTTACAAGATAGCATTGCTTTTGTTTACTGTGTGTCCCTGTTACTATTCTTGAGCCCACCTTCTCTTCAGGGACCCACCTCCCTCACCCCCAGCCACCTCCTCTGTTTGACCTCAGCTGAGTGTACTGTAGCTCAGTTCTTCCACTGACCACCTAGATGGATATGGATCCGTAGCTCCATGTTCCTTTCTGATTTGATGAATCTGCTCATAGAATGCAGGAAAGCATTTGAAATTGCTCTGTAGTGCTGGGGGCAGATCAGAGCTGGAAAGTGTACAGGGGGCCCTGGATTCAATCTCCAAAGCTAGAACATACAAATACAGTGATGCCACTGCTATACTATATAGGGAACAAATCAGAAGGATTAGGGTATGAAGAGACTCGGGGCCAGGTCTGGGTGGAAATGGGGACTCCTTTGCCCTTTTCATATGCAGTCGGTGGCTGCCATCATTCTACCACACCCATGTTTTCACCAGCCAGGGAAGGGCCAGTGAGCTTCTGTGTCCACAGTTCGTAAACATTTTAAATTTATTGTCATTGTGTGTCTGTGTACAGGGTGTGTGTGTACGCCTGTGCCATGGTGTGCATGGAGGTCAGAGGACAGCTTTAGGGAGTCAGTCCTTCCACCTGTATGTGGGTCCAGTTGCCAGGTTTATTATACAAGTGCTTTTACCTCAGCCCTGAGATTCTTTTTAAGTTCAGGTTTTCAGCAGAGA